TTTAAAGAATGTATTCATAGTTTAAGTTATACAACTAACACACCTCTTGTGGCAAAATGAAAGTCTCAGGGAAGACAGGCGAAGCTTTGCCAGAGGGGATCCTCCAAAACCCCCCCAACCCCCCTCCCCCATGCTCAAAAAACAAGGAGCAGGCCCCTCCTCAAGCCTCCTGGAGCTAGCAACTCACTGTGCATGCAGGCTCGATAAACAGAAGTTACAGGAAGGGGGGATTTTAGACACCGAGACATGGACGCCGATGTCCCCAGTGTCTAATGCAAGTCAATTACTCCCCCGCCCCCCCACAAGATATTTGTAACTACAGTGAAAGACCTATGTTGAAAACCAAACTGGAACCACATTCGCGGAGCCCAGCTCAACAATGTAACGGCCACATTTTGCATGTGGAGGAGTTTTTAAGGTTTGAAACAATGCCGCCCTCTATAAAAGACAGGAGCATGCTTGCCCAGCGGAGAGAGAGGAGTTACAGCGGGAGGTTTTGCCCCTGCCCGGCCAGGCAGGAGGGATTTGCAGAGCGTGGAAGCAGAACTGAAGGGCCTGTGTCTGCCGCAGCGCCTGCCTGAGCAGCGTGGAGGAGGGAGGACAGTGTGTCATTACTTCCCAGGTGCACACCTGGGGATCAGTGTGCCGCGAGAGGTGAGGCTAGGCCGCCAGCCCCTCAGGATTTCACTGCCTGGGTCCACCTGTCTGTCCGGGGGTGATGGACACCCAGACAACATGCCTCATATCACTTAGGCCACTTCCAAACTCGCTGGCCAGTGATTTCATTATATTTTTCATAAGGGGCTACCTGATTTTGTCAATCGTATATTTTTTGGCCACGACATAAGTTACAATGACTTACTTCTTTCTTGGCTGTTTTACGAGCAAGACATGTAAATCACAAACAACAACAACAAAAAAAGGGAAGTTCATTAAAAATATACACTTATATATAGCTTTAAATATATAAATATATATTTGCTATATGAATATATACACAAATATATTTATATATACAGCGCCTGTTTTCATTGTGTAGCTACAAAGTAAGAAAAAAAAAAAAGGAAAATGTTGGCAACCAAGAAAAGCCAAAGAGCTTGAAATGTTCATTCCATGCCCCGAAGAGTGAATTCTTGGTGTGACTGTTCTTGCCCACAGAAGCTCAGGTCTCTGGGGGTGACCCTCCCCCCCATAGGATCTTCTAAAGCTTCTTGAGCGCCCCCCACGTGGGGCCAGGCGGGAGCCCCAGGGGACACAGCAGAGCAGGGAGGAAGAAGCAGAGGTACAGCGTGCAGACCAGGAGCAGCGCTCCAAAGCAGCAGAAGGCAGGGCAGGGCGGGGCAGCTGCGTGGGGGGGGGGGGCAGGGCGCAGGCAGATAGATGCAGGAGGAGAGAGCCCAGGCGCAAGGGGGTGGGCGGCTGAGGCACGGCCAGGCTGGGCGGGGCCAGGAGGACTGAGTGACAGCCGAGGAGGAGTGTGGTGTGGGCAGAGGTGGCTCCATCTCAGAGCCGTTTCAACCGACAGCCGCAGCAGGTGGCAAGCCCAGGCTGCACCAGGACGCCTGACCCACCACACACTCTCCTGGGGCTCAGCCTTGGAGGGGGGCTGGCTCCAAGCAGGGGAGACTGAGGCGGGGTCCTGGGGGAGGTTCAACCCGGTTGCAGCCTGTATCAGTAACCCATTCCTTTTCTTGGGAGAGAGTCAAGCCAGTTAATATAAAGAGACTGGTTTGCGCAACCCTGATGTAACCTGGCAGCCAAGGCGAGCGGCCTGGAATGCACGTGCGTGAACGATGACACCTTCACTGTACTAGTCAGCGGGGGCGGTAGACGCTGTTCAGTGAGCATGTGTCCTGTGTGGCCTTCACATTGAATATGGCTGAGCAAGTGGACCAATGCATCTGCATCCGATTTTGCAGTCAGCTTGACCATCCCTCCGTGGAAACTACTCAGATGACTCAGAAGGCCGCAGCTGGGGGCAGCTGGTGAGCGGCAGCTTCCTCACGACCACGTGCCTGCTCGTGCACCACGTCTCGTGCAGAGATTTATGCTGAAACATCCAATCACCCAGGTGACTCAGCCCCCCCTACAGCCCAGATTTGGAGCCGTGCACCTTCTGGCTTTTCCCAGAACGGAAATCACCTTTGAAAGGGGAGCGATTTCAGACCGTGGGTGAGACTGAGGAAAATACGGCGGGGAAGCTGATGGGTGATGGGGTGAACTTGGGTGACTAGGCCCCAAGGTCCCTCCTTTGAAGGGGACTGAGGCATCATTGTCCTACGTACAATGTTTCTTGCGTCTTCTTCAATGAACGTCTCTATTTTTCATATTCCATGGATGGATACTTCCTGGATAGACCTCATACGGCTGAACCATATTCTATGTTACGATGGACCACACTTTGGGTCTCTGTTTATGTGTTGGTGGGCATCTGGGTCATGTTCACTCTTGGCTGGCAGCGTCAGCGGCGGACCAACAGCACCTGCGGCGAACCTGGGCGCGGCCAGCTCGGTTCTGGAGTTCCGGCTACAAGAAGCATCCCGGGCCAGGACTCAGATGACGAAGAACGTTTATTTAGAAAGTCACAGAGGCAGAAGGGATCGGTAGAGCCGGGCTTGGGAAACAAGTGACAGCAAAAGGAAAGCCCTTGGAGCTTGGGGGGGGGGGAGGCAGGGACTGGGGGAGAAAGAGAGAGAGAGAGAGAGGTGGGGGGGAGACCTTGAGAGAACAGGGGGGAGGTCAAGCCCAGCTCTGCTGCATACAGAGCGCCTCTCTGCGTCCTCCATCCACCGGGCTTTTGCCCGAGGTTTCAGGGGGCGATCCCCATAGCACCCGCACCAGCTTTCCTGGTGGGCTCTGCAGGGTCACGGCGTCCACGGATGGGTCAGCAGCAGGGGAGGGGTCACTCGTTGTGACAGCCCGTCCTGAGGTCAGCCACTGCATCATTAGACCCATTTGGTTTTGCTGCTTTTTCTGGGCCTGGAGCTGAAACCCAGGAGAGGCCTCCATGTCACCTCCAGGGGTTCAACCTCAAGGGCGCGGTCTGCAGGGGCCTGTGGTTCTGCCTGTCACCGGGCGCCCCAGGTGCTCGTCCTGGTGACCCTCTGCCCCTGGCACTGGTCCCTACCCTCCTCATCCCACCCCCAGTCTGACCAAACCGCCCCCGTGTTAGGAATGGTGCTGGTGCGGCCATGAACAGTCATCCCGGGCGGGGGGGCAGTGTTTCCTTTTCTCTTGGGGAGCCACGTATCCGTGGTCCCATTTTAATGCATAAGTTATCCATGAAAAGAGAGTGTTCCGAAGAGGCCCAAGAACGGCTCTGGCGTTAGTTCCCGTTCGCTACACGCACGCAGGAGTGGAGGGGGACAAAGGTGTGTCCTCCTTACGCTTCTTCGTCCACATTCAGCGCTGAAGGGGCGGGGAGGAGGAAGAGCCACTCCGGGAAGGGGTTTGCGGGTGGTGGGCACAGGCGGGGGGCGGATCATGAAGCCCTCTGGCAAAGGTCGCAGCAGCTGCCCACTGCTGACTGTCCCTCTGAGGTCCGCAGGCCATCCCAGCCCACACCCCGAGACGGCTGCCCACGGTGCAGAGTCACTCAATTTGTATGTCACTGCTGATACCCACCCTCCCACCCCCCCAAAATGGGCATACGCATATAAATGCAAAATAGCAGGTACTCAGCACAGAACATGTCACACTGGAAAATTTCCACTGCTCGCCAGAGCGCCTAGGCCTCGCCCGATATGCGATATCCGAGGTGGGGGCGAGTTTCTCATCCCAGCTCCTCCCACGACCCGGATGTTCCCATACCTGCAACACCCTCCAGGCACCCGGGGGGGGGGGGCATCCTTTGCTCCCTTCCGGCCCCTCTCTCCTCTGACCCGAGTTCCCGAAGGTCAAGAAGCAGCTCTTGGCTCGGAAACTGGGTCCCACGTTCTCTGCCTCTGACCCTGCCAAGTTTCAAACAGGAATTCCGAACCAACCCAAAGCCACACAGTGGCCCACCCACGGCGGAAGGAAATTGTATTTATTCCTTCCACCAAGGCCTGCGGGGCTGGGGCGTGGGGGGGGCGGGAAGGTTACTGGTGAAACTTCGCCAGGGGCGACAGTATAGGACATGCTTCCTGAGGGTTAAACACGAGGAATGTTCTGCAATAGGGAATGACGAACAATTTCTGGCCTATGAGAGTCCATCGGTGGAATTGTAAGCCATCATATTAAAAGCGTGCCTTTGAAAGCTACCGAGTGACCCAGAAAAAGAGTTTTAAGACTAGGTAACGGAATGAAAAGGCCCAGCTACTCCGAGCACGCCCGAGCCGAGGGCACCCCTCCCCTCCCCTGTCCCCTCCACGCCCGACCGTTCACGGGTGGAAAAGTCGTTGCGCAGAGAAAAACGCGAGGCGCCCGAACGTCACCACCGGTCTTTCCCCGGGGACTGGTCCTTTCCCGGACCACAAACTGTCCATGTTTTCCACTAGGGAGAGTGGCCCTTCTTCCACCCCTGAGCGGGGAAGCCACGGCGAAGACAGGACTTCATCAGGGGCCTTAGGAAGAAACCCCGAGCATCTCGTAACTGGGCGGACTCGCCCTTCGAGCAGGACGCACCACGGGAAGCTTCGGAGGTTTCATCTACGGGGCATCCCATCCTGGGCGCACAACCGTCAACAGGGACCAGCGTGGCGTGGTTTGGGGGGGCTTTCACCATGTAGGTGGGGGCAAGGGTGAGACTTCAGGGCAAGTCAGGGCAGCACGGAGAGCCCCAGGAGTGTGGGCGTCATCTTCCCTTAGCTCTCCATGGGCCACCCTCTCTCTCCAGGAGTGCCCGGCGCACGCTCGTCCCCCAATGCCCGAGCCCCAGCCCCTCCGCGGGGTCCCCGCTGCACAACCCTTCTGCCACCCCTTTCCTGTTTCTTCCTCAGCGCCCTCCGCACCGGGGCCGAGGGTCCCCAAGGAGCCGAAAGCCCAGCACGTGCGCAGAGCCGGCGCGCAGGCGTGGGCCGCGGGTGCGCGCGCGCGCGCGCGCGGTGGTGCGCCGCTCTTCCAAGGTCGTCGGTACCGCCCTCCCCGCGAAGCCGGGCGCCGGCGTTGACCTCTTAACAAAGAACAGGTTCGGCCGCTGCCCCTCCTCCGCCCCCGGGGCCGAGGGGACACGTGACCTTTGCCAGGCTCGCCCCCGCCCCCGCCGAGGGGGCTGGGCGACCGGGGCCCAGCTGGGGGGAAGGGCGGGGTGTGGGGAGTGGGGGAGGGAGGCGGAGGCTACGGCGGGAAGGCGGGAAGGCGGGAGGGGGTGGGGTGGGAGGGGGAAGGGCGCGGAGGAAGGTGGGGGATGGGAGATGAAAGGGGGGACGGGAGCGGAGGGGGGTGGGGGCGGGGAGCAAGGAGGGGCGCGCGAGATGCCAGAGGAAGGGGGATGGGAGATGAAAGCGGAGGGGGGAGGGGAGGGCGCGGAGGAAGAGGGGGGATGGGAGATGCAAAGGGGGGGATGGGAAACGAAACAGCAGGGCGGGGACGCGCGGGGGAGGAGGACGCTAGCCGGGGGAGGGAAAGGCGAGGGGTGGGGCGTGGTGGGGAGGGGAAGGCCGGGGAAGGGGGATGGGCCAAGCAGGAGGTGGGGCGGGCCCCCCCCCCGGCCCCCCCCTCCGCGCTAAGGGTTTGGGGCCCCGCCCAGCCCCAGGCCCGAGACTCAATGAAATGCCAAGTGCCCATTTCTTTCTCTCTCTTTTTTTTTTTAAGCCAGACTAAAAATTTAGAGTTTCCTCTGCAGCCCAAGCAGAACCTGGGAATGCGCATTAGATTTTTCTGTTTCGGAATGCCAGTGAGGCCTAGGCCAGCTCCGTCCGGCTTTGGGGACCGGCTTCGGGGCCGGCTTCGGGTTCCACGCCGCAGGCCCGAGGGCGCGGGGCCCTGGCCAGCAGCCTCTTTGGGGCCAACCCCGAGAGAACATCGCTTCCTAGTGAAACGGCCCAGGCCTTCCTCCCGCCTAACAGGAAGTCACGCTTTAAAAAGTTGTGTTTTTTTTTTTCTTTTTTACAACAACCACTTGTCCAGGGTCCACCGATCGGGAGGGGCTGGGTTCGAAGTGGAGGCTGGGTGTCCCCGAGGCCCAGGGTCCCAGGGACCCCCTGAGCCTGCGGACGCTGCAGCCCTGAAAATTTGGAATCCGGGCCTCCGCCAGCCTCCCGCGGCCAGCCTGCACGTGGTCGGCAGCCTGCTAGGACTGGGTTCCTTCAGTGCCCTCCTCCCTGCCCGCAGCCCTGCCGCCAAGGGCGCACCGGAGCAGCCCCCTCCCCAAACAGAACACACGGAGGGCGCGCGCCGCAGAGGGCGTCAGCTGTGTGTGCTCCCATTATGGGAGCTTCGTGGGCTGTTTCCTACCCTTTCCCGTCCCTCGGGAGGTATGGAAGGCCTTCATTTGAATGCCATTCTGTGCTTCCAGAATTGAGACGCGGCCCTGCATAAGGGAACCCTTGGGTCAAGCGCGGGGCACGATCTGCGATCGTCCGGGAAGGCCAGGTTCAGGCAGGGCGCCCCGGGGCTGTGCCGAGCCAGGGCCAGCAGTGGCTGGAAAGACTTGTCCGTGGGAGGGAGAGGGGACCCGCAGGAGGAAGACAGGATGGGGGTGGGGGCTGCTGCGGTGTGTCCTTGGGCGGGCGGGGGTGGGGTCAGGTTGCAGGTCGCCGCACATGCCAGTCTCCGGCGGCGGCGCGCGTTCTAGCTGCGCGGGCTTTCCAACTTGGCACCCGAGGGAGGAGGGCCTCCGCATCCTGACGCCGGACTGGGTGGGTGGGTGGGGGGCGTTGGGTCTCTGTTCGTTTCTAGCGCTGTCCTACCCAAGTAGCACAGACTGGGGGCTGCACCCACAGAAACCTGTTTAGTCCCCGTCCTGGGGGCTGGAAGTCAAGACCCGAGTGTGGGCGGGGCTGGTTTCTCCAGAGGAGGCCTGTCTGGTGCGCTCCGAGACCCGGGCTGCCTCCCTGTGTCCTCCCGTGGCCGCGCACACCAGTCTTGTTTGGCGAGCACCCACCTTGAGGCCTGCGTTTTAATGCAATCACCTCGTTAAAGAGGCTGTTTCCTTCCTAGGTGCTGGCCGACGGGGGCGGGGCCAGGGGGGACCTCAAGGGCACTGCAAACTGCCAATGGCATTTCTGATTCTCATTTCTGGGAGACGGGAGATTTTAAAAAGAGATTATTTCTATATTCCGTCTTCCCTAACAGCCGGAGGGTCATCTGAAAACGCTCCTCGGGGCGAATTATCCCGGAGTGATGTCTTCTTGGCAGGAGCTGTGTCTCCTTAAGACTTGTGTCCCCAGAGCTGGTGGCACCTGCGGGGGTGGGGGATGCGGTGGTTGGGGGGGGTGAAACCATAGGTATGGCTGGAGCAAGAATCAGGGGGGGTTCCAAGATGCTAATTGACTCCTCATTGATTCTGCAGCCGTGAAACCACCAATCCGTTTGTAGTGATGAAAAAGAGACAGTGTTTTCTTTTTTGTTTTCTTTTGGTCACTGGACTGGGGGGAGGGGGGAGGGGAGGGGAGGGGGGAGTAGCCAGCCTCTGTGTGTTCTGCGGGAGCGGATTTCCTGCAGCCGGTCCTGGCCAGCACGTGTCCAGAGGCAGTGGCCGCGGCCTGTATGAGCATTCAATCTCCGTGGAAGGTGGCTGGAGAGAGGGGCCTGGGTGCCGCCTCAGGACACTTTCCAGCGTGTGCAGACCCGCCCAGAAGCCCGGGCTGGACGGCGTCAGCAGACACCATGAAGGAGACACTGTAGCTTGTGATGATCTTGGAGCCCGGGGCCGGGGCCGACTGGGTTTCCATAAGCAACGTCTGTCCTTTCCCCGGCGTGGGGGAGGGGGGATCCCTCTCTGCTGTCCTGGACTCTGCCCGGGGAGGCCTTCAGGGTCTTCCCCCTGGTTCGCTGGGCGGAGCAGGCTCCTTGGCCTGTCCCCTGAGGCCGTGGGACAGCAGTTCCTGGGCGCTGGGCACGGGCTGAGGAACGCGGGAATGTCACCGTCTGTCCCCTGCTCTGCGCCAGCAGGGGGGTCTAGCCTTCCTTCCCGTGTCCCGGCTGGCCCAGACTTCTCGGCGACCCACGGGAGGCCACAGGTCGCAGAGAACGGGACCCTTCACGCATCCTTTGAGTCCGTCTGCATCCTTTTTAGCGCTTGGGTCTTTTTTGTGTCTGTGGTTGATTTTGTCTGACTCTGCTCTTTATTGCACAGAGGGCTGGGCAGGAAGGGAGGTGTTGGAGAGGCAGGAAATTAAACCATGGCTCGGTGATAGCACCAGGAAATGTGGAAATAACTGGTGTTGGGCGTCAGTGGGTTTTGTCTCTCCCTGGGTCCACCCTCTCTGTCTTTTGGTTGAAAAAGTCAAGTTTTATTTATTTACTGAGAGAGGGAGAGTGAGAAACGTTGATTCGTCATTCCGCTTATTGATGCATTCATTGGTTGATTCTCGCATGTGTCCCGATCAGGGATCGAACCCACAACCTTGGCGAATGGAGTCGATGCTCTGAGCACCTGAGCTACCCGGCCAGGACCAAGGGACATTTTCCTCAGGGAACACCTGGCCACCATTCGCAGGCTGTGTGGTACCCAGCTCCAGGCAGAGCCTTGGGGAGCAGGCCTGGGCTTCAGGGACCTGTTAGGAAAGAGTGTGTGACCCGTATGGTCAGACACAGCCAGCTGTGGGCTTCTGGGATTCCAGCTGCTGGAATCCCTGACAGTGGTGAGTGTGTGTTTATGTGCTTGCTGGGGTTGCTAAGCCCGTAGCGTATACACCTAGTGATGATACAATCCGACGTTATCACTGCTTCAGATCGAAGACAGCACAGAGGCACCAAGAAAGCTGCGGAGTGCAGAGAGACAGATCCACTACGAAGTATTTGAGCACCTGGATCCAGCCAAGCCTGAAGCCTGCACATGAACTATTATTCTGTTATATGAACCATTATTCAGTTATATGAACCAATGTGTGTATGTGTGTGTGTGTGTGTGTGTGTGTGTGTGTGTTTTGCCAGATGGGCTGCTAATACTTGCCCCTGAGAAAAATTTCCTGACATATCACAATACCAACTTCCGTTTTGCAGAGAATTAAAGTCATCATCAAATGCTACTAAAGCCATAGCCAATCTCCCTCCTTTCCCTTCATCTTTGGTTCCAACCTGTGACCAGTGGACATAAAAACGCATTCAAGATAAACACGTTTTAATGAATAATTGGAAAGGAACCCCCGGTAACCCCCCAAGTCAGGAAGGAGAGCATTGTCCCCTTGATCACCACCCACCTCTCCCCACGAGGATTTTGAGTTTTGTGGGGAATCATCTTTTTTTCCTTTTCTCTGTAGTGTTACTTGCCGCCCCGCCCCTTCCAGAGAGTGAATTTTGCGTGAGTGGAATCACACTGCGTGGGTCCCTGGGTGACAGTCCTCTCTGCCGTCCCTGTAGCGTGTGCGTTCTGGACGCGCCCGCGGCCCGTGACGGCCTCACACTGCATTTGTCCGTCCGGGAGTGTTTTTCTGCTCGCGGCGTTGACAGGAGGGAACGTACTGAAGTCCGTCCGCCCAGAGCGCCTTCGGAAGCAGAGGGCAAGGCTCTGCGCCGCCCTTTGCGGAAGCCCCGTGTGGGATCAGCGCGGCCATCTGGCGCCCTTGGTCCCCATCCAGGCTGCCCGGGGCTCCCGGGGAAAGTTGTGTAATCGAGAGCATTCCCTCCCGGGCGTCCTGGGCGTCCTGCTCTTCCGTCCCTGCGAGCAGGTCCCCCTCAGTGCTCTGCCACCCCCCACACATCCCCAACTGTGTGAGCCCCAGGCTCCCTCCCAGCCCCTCGCCTGCACGGATGACGTTGTCTGAGGGGGGTCACCAGGCAGAAGGTCATCCACGGCCGGCCGCACTTGGCGCAGAAGCAGCTTATCTGGACCCACACCCTGTCCCTGGCTGTCCCGGGGGCGCAGCTGGGATCTCTCACAGTTCAAGCCGTTTTTTTTTCCCCCGCTGCAGGAGCCAGAATGATGTTTGTGGGATGCAAATGTGATCCCCGTGTGAATGTGCCTTAGTCCCCTGGGCCTGCCGGAACCTCAGAATGGGGTGGGGGATGCGGGGGGGCGGGCGG